CTGCTTTGCTATTTTGTACGTATACATCATATGTATATGTTGTGAAAACGTGTAAATTTTGGAATTACATTATCATCGTTTTGTTGGTGGCTGAGTTAGTGGCAGAATCTCTAACGAGTTGTGACGCCGAATAAATTAAAATTAACTCTTCTCAATCCGTCGTGATTCGCGTCCGCGTCTAGCTCTGTTCGTACAATTTATTATAATTGCAGGCGCGCTTAAAAATGTGTGGAAAATGTTAGGATGTTAATGAGTTTGACAATCAATCAGAGGTTTTGTTGCTTGGCGCTTGCGCTTGCTGCACGAATATTCTAATCGTTTTGTTAAATCCTTGGACCGTTTGACCTGCGGTCGTATTTTAAAAGAATTAAGTAACTGGCAAGCGCTACAACATCTTTATTATTTTAATTTTTGTTTTCGATTATAATTTACTGAATTGTTTGCTAATAATTTTAACATTCCTGTATAAGTGATGTATCAAGGTGGCGTTACAGTCATCTAAATCAATATTTGTTTTGGTTTTTTTACCACTTTCTTGTTTTTATTGTGAGATTTACTCCGTTTTTGGACATTAGAACAACTGCTGATGGAAGGATACATTCGTGAGGGGGGTTTGTCATCCCTAGTTCAAAATGTCTGCATACTTTGCTAATTGTAGCTTTCATTTCCATCATTGCAAATCGTTGTCCGATGCAATTTCGATGACCGGCACTAAATGGCAAGAATGCAAAAGCATGACGTTTGCTTTGTTCAGCCGGAAGGAAGCGCTCTGGTATAAACTTCTCCGGATTGGGAAAGTTTGAAGGGTCTTTATGAATTGTCAAAATAGGAATAGCAATTGTCGTTCCCTTGCGAACATGAATATCTTTGTAGTGGAAATCTTCGGAGACATTGCGAGCAATACTAGGTACAGACGGATAAAATCTGAGGCCTTCTTTAATGACCATTTCTAGAAAAGTCATATTTTTCAAATCTTCACTGGTGATATTTCTATCGGGTTCATTAGCGAATATACTGCGCTGTTCTTCGATTACTTTTGATTGGATATCAGGATGTTGCGCGATGCAGAATAGGGTGAAGGATATTGCAGCACTTACAGTATCGTGCCCTTCAAACATGAAGGTATCTACTTCTTCCATAATATCTTCGTCACTCAATGGTTTACCATCAATGGTCGTTTGAAGGAGTAAATCTAAGAAAGCCGTTTTTTTCTTTATACCAAAATCTTCATCGTTAATATATGTTTCTACATCAGCGTTATTGTTTATCAAAGTAGACTTATTTTCTTTACTTAGTGCTTCTCTTCTGGATTTAATCAAAGACATGGTGTACTCTTTTAAAATCTTCAGAGCTTTCCGTTCTTTCCAGTAAGCAGGTGTGAAGATATAGGTTGCTTTTAGATATGTTATTGGATTTACAATATGATCGTAGATATTTGCCGTCATAAACTTTGTAGCCCAGACGTAGTCTGATTGATCATTAAGTTGTGAATTCATACTAGTACCCATTGCGGTTTCTACAATGTTATCCATCGCAGCTAATGTCACATAGTGTGCTATGTTTACCACACCAGCACCATCTTGTTTATCAATTGACTTCTGCAATTGTTGAACAAGTATTTGATTGTTCTTATTAAAAACCTGCACAAATTGGTCTAAAACTTTAAAATGAAAGGTAGGCGTGATGGTTTTTCTTCTCAATCGCCACTTTGCTGACTTGCTAAGAAGCAGACCGTCACCCAACCATTCTTTTAAGAAAATGTATAGTATACTTTTATTAATGGTAGCTTGCGAGGTAAGGATATATTCAACTAGGTCCAGATCAATCGTAACAATACCAGCCGTCCATGGGATAGTCATTTTGTAAGTTTTACCATAAATATTACACATATCACCCAATCTCGTCATAAGGGCTAAAATAATGCTCCAATAATATTTTTTACTTCTTAAATATTATTACTCAAATAGTACTGACTCGATACAGGATAACATGTCATAAGAGATCCGATAAATGGATACGACGCTGGACCTCTCAATGATTTCAAACCACATAATATACCGTTTAAATACCATCGCCATAATAAATATAACACTAGTGTAACTGCTAGCACGATAAACATTTTAAAATAATTCGCGGCGTATTTATTGCATGCGTGCAACGGTGCAACTGATTTGGGGCATCATCCATGACACGATTTATAATATGACTGCACTTTTCGAGACGCATATTATCTTGAAATATTAAAATGTTTGGATGATCTTTGCGCTAATTTTGTCATATTTATCGGCGCAGCAATTTTATTTGTAAACAACTGATAATTTATTTATTTGCTGCTCATTTAAGATTTATCCTGTTTATACTTGTGGATTATTTGAAGGATCTATTTCAAGATTTACCATTTTTTAATTTTATGATCATGTCTATCGCCTACGTACAAACACATTATCATCGCGTCATTATGCGGTGCGCAAATACAAATCGTTCAAACAATAAAACGCGTTAGTTGCTTGATGCAATGTTTACCGTTACAAATAAATGTGTGTAGCTCTATTTGTTTATCGTGTGCAGCGCTATTACGTGATAGCAAACTTTACAACCACTGCAATAAACGCCGAACGAAATATATTCTGACCAAACGAAAATTTAAATTTGAATATTTCGTTTATTTTTTACAAGTTGATTGCTTTATGTAGATGTAAATTCGGCGTTGTTAATCACGCGTTGACCACACACCGAATCATGGCGCGACGCAGCGCGTTTATTCTTTTATATACCCGAGAACATCATCGGTTTTATCGATGTGCGTCTTGTAGCATCGCAAGTTTTTTACGAAAGCTCAGTGGGTGTTAAAAAGTGAACGTCCCTCTCGTGGCCTAGCCCAGTCTAGGTCGCCGATGTCACCGGCCGACAAAGTTTAATCTTAGAGAAGAAAAAAAATGTATAAAATAAACGTTAAAAGTTTAAAAAGTTAAAGGTTACATAAACGTTCTGCCGTGATAACTAATTTATCTTAATTATTTTGCGTTTATTAAAGAAAAACGTAAAATATTTCATAACCCAGTGGACAGCTGTCAAGTGTCTACTTGCGTAGCGTAGATTTGAGGTTAAGTGCTGTACAGCATTGCCAAATTTATTGTTTAAACACGCGCACAATCATTGCTATTGAGGTTGCACATTGGCTAGTTCGATGTTTGTGCAAACATCGTTCACTACTTCAGCCGAACAGCATTGAGGACCATTAATTGCTAAGCGTTGAATCGAAGGCTAATTACAAATGTTTTCATACGCATTAAAGATTTGTCTTAGAATTTTATGTACCTACGTAAATCTCGTACATTGTTATTACATCAATTTAATTAATTACTGAAAACCAAATTGTAATTCTCGATGTTTATTTGCAACGAAAATTGAAGAAGAGAATTCAATTTTCATTGCAAATTTTATGAATTAACTTTTCATTTGATGGTTTATCATGTTTGCGTATAATTAATTAAAATGATCGTGAATCATGTGTCGAAACATTATTAATTTTCCTTTAAAGTCTTTAAGTGTGTTCTATTTATATAAAAGTTATAAATAATATATGTATATAACAATTTTATTTGATTCCAAAAAAAAATGGCGTTTAGAAAGGATCCTCATTACACAATTGCCGTTTAATTGATGAATGTGTGAACAATGATCGATTCCCCATTATAATATATTGCACTCATCGCTAAACTTTCAAAATTAGTTTCAAATTACGCACTTCACGCAAAATATTTGTGTTTTGAGGTTGTTTTATTTTTACAATGCTTTTTTTAATTTTTGTACACCGAGTGTTAGTATAATAAAATTGAAATATATTTGATACGTATTTATAAAAAATTCTAGTTATAAAAATTTATGAAAATTATTTTGCTCTTTGACTCTTTGTAAGTTAGTGCCAACTGCCCACTTTTTACCTAATAATTTATTACAAAATTTTTATTTATTGATATTTAAATTCTTCACAATTTCTCTTCTTTCTTATTGTCACATAGCCACGCTTCGGCTAGCGAAAATGTAATGCATAATTTAATTTCGTAGATATTATTTCAATCGTTTTGCGTTAATTTGTTTGAGAGAAATGTTAATTGTCTATATAAGCATGGGAAACACAGTGTTTGTTGTCTACGTGTATGTTGCGCATACAGAAATAGAAAACGGAAATTCTCGACGTCGACGACGATGATGATGCATCTCCTCAAACATCAAGTATTTTTCATGCGATTGTTGCTCGTTTAGAAGGTGCAACACTCCGCTGATGAGAAGTTCACGGAATTTCTCAGGCCAATTACGGCCGGGTGCCGCTTGTAAAACGTTGATATAAAATATGGCGTATTACATAAACTGGTTAATTAACAAGCGGCGCGTATGAATGACAGCATTCATTCGATTTAGTTTTTTTTTTCCATTATATTTTCGCTGTTGGTGCTCTCTCACAAACGGGTTTTTTGGTTGTGCGCTTTTTTGCGAACTGAATCACTGAATCAGGAGAGAATTGCATGAATTGGAAATCTGGTTTAAACTTGTATTGTTATTTACGATTTTTCTTTTATGTGTCCATCTAACGATTTTTAAGTGGTTGGGTAATGCAAAGCATAGCGATTTATGTCACATGCTTGATTTACGATTACGATCACAAAGTGTAACAAAGTCGGCGACTGGTGACTCAAAGTTTTTTTTTTGCTTTAGTTTTAAGCTGTTGGTGGTACTTTTGCGTGTTGCAAGAGCAATTTTTCGGTGTTTTATGCATGTTTTGTGCGTGAATTTGCGTACGCCATGCGTGATTTGCATACGAAATGTGTGCGCGTCAGCGAACGAAAGTAAATTTTCGTTTTCTTGCCGGTCAGAAGTTTGGTTGGTTGCTCTTCTCGCCGGCGGTCCTCGCCTTGTCTGCTGGGTGGGACACACGCGTGATACAGATCCGCGAGTGCTCGCGTGCGCGCGCGCCTTCTTTCTTTTGTCTTCACTCTTTCTTCTCTGTGCCGGTAAGTGAGAGGATGTGACCCGATTTTTCACCACCCAACCAAAAAATTCGACAAAACTCAAAAGTGTACCTATGTCAATATTCGGCTGTGGCCCGTGTAGGGTGGGGCGGCTCGAAGATGAGCTATAAATTGGTCGGTCGTCGACGACATGGTATCACACAGTTCACTTCCTTCTTTCAAGGTAACTCGATCTGGTTACCACCGACACACCATAAGATGAAACCCTTCGTGGTAAGTTACGGTGCCAAGGAAGGTGCTTCAAGTGCTAAGTTTGGTTTTTCATTGGAATTATAGCTTGTTGCCACCCTTGTGGCTCTTGTAAGCGGACGTCCAGAACCTCCATCGGGTTACAACTACCCGAGGCCGGGCGGTGGTCATCATCATATTGGTTCGGTTGGCATCCACGGTGGTGGTGGTTTTGGTAACAACTTCCAGACCATCAGTTCTGGACACCATCAGACTTCCTTCGGAAATCAAGGTGGTGACTTTGGTGGTAACACTGGTTTCACTGACTCCCACTTTGGAGGACAGAGTTCTGGATCCTTTGGTGGTTCTTCCGTAAACTTTGGTAGTTCATCTGGATCCTTTGGTGGTTCTTCTGGATCCTTCGGTGGTTCGTCTGGTAACTTTGGTGGTTCTTCCCACTTTACTCAAGGCGGACACAGCGGTGGAGTAACAGTCCAAAAGCACATCTACGTGCACGTCCCACCACCAGAGCCAGAGGAGTTCCGTCCACAACAGCAAATCGCTGTCGGTCAGGCCCAGAAGCACTACAAGATTATTTTCATTAAGGCTCCATCTGCTCCAGCCGCGACTGCCCCAACCATTCCTCTGCAGGCTCAGAACGAAGAGAAGACCTTGGTCTACGTCTTGGTTAAGAAACCCGACGAGCAACCAGAGATCTCGATCCCAACTGCCGCCCCAACCCAGCCCAGCAAGCCAGAGGTTTACTTCATCCGTTACAAGACCCAGAAGGAACAGGGTGGTGGTCATTTCACTTCCGGCTCGTCTTCCACTGTTCTTACCGGTGGCGACTCTGGAATTTCTGGTGGCATCACTGGTGGAATTACTGGCGGTATTACTGGTGGCATTACTGGTGGCGACATCATCTCCTCAGGAGGTTCTTCCTCTTCTCATCACTCCAGCTCTTCCAGCGTGTCCACCAACTACGGACCACCTGGCCAGAGCGGCCCATACTAAGTCATTTCGCACCCATTTTCACACGTAACGGGTAACGAGAGAAGTGCATCGATCATCTAAGCAATTCTTTTCTCGTCTCGTCATCACAGCCATGACGCACACATTTTCTGCATCTACTGGAATGGGACATGTGATAATCCCATTTATCGCATTTTGTACATAGTTTTTCGTTGATGAGAAATGCTAGAAATTATATTGTAATGTTTTTTATATGTATTTTTGCAAGTAATACGGTGACAAATAAATGTATTTTTATTTAAATAATTTATGATGATGATTCTTACCTCAGAACTTTCTTTTTTTGAGGCGAAACGAAAAATTTCTTCTTCGGAATGATGCTAAATGAAGACGAGCATAAAAGCGTTTGTCATATAACCAAAAACACTTCTTATATTAAAAACTTTACGTGACTTGCGTTTTAAGTCTAAATATGACAGAATGATATAAGATTCTAATCCAATTTGTCGTTTTAGTTGTTCCATTCTTTTTGCGGAGAAAATTTACGCTTGAAAAATGTTGAATCTTTGATTTCCCCATTTCGATGAAAGTGAAGTTAGTAAATCGAACTATTTCAAGCGCTACATCAATGCATTACATTGATTCATTGCATACATTAGCGATTTATTGTATCATACATTGTCTACGCGGCGCGGTTGTTGGCTTTCTTGTTGCCGATGGTAAGCGTCGAATCCGTGCGGGTTCGACAATACCGGTGAGAGGTTGTGACCCGAATTTCACTTATCTAAATGTTAAAGCACACTCGCGCGTTTGGCGACGAGGAAGATGTCTCTTCTTCTTCTTCTTCTTCGGCTCTTCGGTTCTTTGGCGCTCACGCGGAGCTATTGGCGATAATGCGGGGGCCCCTCTTGGAAGGGGGCAATCATCGCATGTGCCCCATCGCCAACGATGTATAAATACGCAACGCTGATGGCTCATTGCACCAGACGTGCAGACGCAAGAGTTAATTGTGCTCAAGATGAAAGCTTTTGTCGTGGTAAGTTGTTGCCAAATTAAGATTTTGTTTGGATGAAGAGAGTTTGGTGAAAACATTACCATTTTGTAGGTGGTTGCCACCTTGCTGGCCGTGAGTAGCGCCAAGCCGCAGTACAACTATAATCCTCCGAGTGCACCCAGCGGAAGCTATGGAGCGCCTGGGGGTGGATTAGGAGGAGGCGGTGGTGGCGGCGGCGGCGGCGGATTTGGTGGAGGCGGCGGTGGATTTGGAGGAGGTGGTCTCGGCGGTGGACTAGGAGGAGGTCTTGGAGGAGGCGGAGGATTTGGAGGTGGAAGCGGCGGTGGTTTCGGAGGCGGCGGCAGTGGAGGGGGTGGTTTCGGCGGAGGATCCGGCGGTGGTGGTGGATTCGGAGGAGGTGGCGGCGGTGGATTCGGAGGTGGTGGCGGCGGCGGAGGTGGCGGTGGAGGTACCGTAACCGTCCAGAAACACATCTACGTCCACGTAGCACCAGAGGAGCCAGAGGAATTCCGTCCACAACGCCCCATCTCTGTTGGACAATCCACTAAACATTACAAGATTATCTTCATCAAGGCCCCATCTGCACCTGCTGCAACTGCACCAACTATTCCTCTTCAAGCCCAGAACGAAGAGAAGACATTGGTCTACGTTCTTGTTAAACGCCCCGACGAAGCACCCGAAATCAACATCCCCACCGCGGCGCCAACGCAACCCAGCAAACCAGAAGTCTACTTCATCCGTTACAAGACGCAAAAGGACGCGTCCGGCGGAGGCGGCGGCGGCGGTGGTGGTGGTGGAGTCAGTTTGGGAGGAGGCGGAGGCGGTGGTGGTGGAGGTGGTCTTGGCGGCGGCCTCGGAGGTGGACTCGGCGGTGGTCTTGGCGGAGGTCTCGGCGGCGGCATTTCCACCGGCATCTCCAGCGGATCTTCATCTACTTCCATTGGAGGTGGTGGTGGCGGTAGACCCGCAAGCAACTATGGCCCACCTGGCCAGAGCGGGCCATACTAAGCCCCACCAAATGTGTTGTGATTCATCCACATACAGTTACCATGGCGCGACCCCGGATACACACCACACATCCTTCAACATTCTACACAACACACAACATTGCTATTCTTCGTGGGTCGCGCAGACCATACCATTCATTTGTACATACCAACAACCCTTAGAACACCCGCAGCGACAAATATGCATGCAGCATGATATGTTACTCGTTTTTATATTTTTGTATATAATACTCATTATTGATAAGATAGCAAATTACGGTGACAAATAAATGTATTTTTAGTAAACATAACTTGTACATGTTTTCATCCTGGTTATTCCTGTTTTTGTGTTGGTCCGTTTATCATGTATTTTTGACGTTTATGCTCAATAAATACATAATTTTGTAAATTTATACTCTTGAGATGCCGAAAAGATCGCGGCTTGTTTAACTGGTATCCTCATTTTATACATAAATTAAATATTTTTTCAACAGCAAAGATTTACACGGGATATTGAATACGTGGGTGCAATTTTAGAGAAATTTTGTAATATTATGCGATTTAAGTTATCATATGCAATACGGTTGCATTTTACGTCGTTGTGCATTATTTCGAACATTGCTACCGCCATCAATCAACTGTTCACGTGAACAATTTTGACTCTCATGCACAGCATATTAAATTTAAATTAATCATGCGCCGCTGGGAATCTGCTAAATATTTATATTGTTTTGCATAATCACAGGCATATAAATATTCAAATACACAGTCGATTGCAACAAAATCTACGTTTTCTATGATTTGATATGTCTGAAACTGCATACTAATACGTTGATTGCGTCGTTAATGAGAATGTCTCCAATATAGTTTCTCGCTTTTTTATACGCCTGTCGAAACGCATCATCTAGAATCGCAGGTATCTTGCGGGTGTATGTGTGAGTGATGATGGCATATACATTCGGTAGTTTATTATTGACAAGGTTACTAAATTTTTATTTGTTTGCCGGCGTCGCACGCGTGTTGCGGCGTGGCATCTGCTTTGAAATAGAAATGTTAACCTGTGCGGCCGCCCGCCCGCGAGTGGAGTGAAGATGTCCTTGCAAAAAGGATGTCTCGGTCTCGGGCAAAGTGGGGATCTTCTATAAATACAATAACCGTAACCTTACCGAATCACACTTGAATTGTGAACACAAGAATACGATCATGAAGGGTTTACTGGTAAGTGTGCTCTGCAATCTTGTTTAAAGTATAGAATCTAAGGGTGCTTGTGATTAGATCGTCTCCGCTTTGGTTGCTTGTGCGTTGGCCAGGCCAGACATTGGATTAAACATCCGTAATGGATACCAGTACCAGCCCCCGGCGACCAGTTATGGCACCCCGACCGGCAGCTACCTGCCTGGTGGTAGTGGTGGCCAGACTTATCAGCAATCCTCATCGTCCCAAAGCTTCGTGAGCTCTGGAAACGGTGGATACAACAGCAATGCCAACACTGGTAACGGTGGATTCTCTGATTCCACTCTCAATGTTCAGGACTATGCTCGCTCCGGCTCCCAGGGAGGTTTCAGCGGGTTCAATCAGCAATCTGGTGGTGGATTCCAACAACAAAGTGGCGGATTCAGTCAACAATCTGGTGGCGGATACCAACAACAAGGTGGTTTCCAACAAGCCCAGACCCAAGTGCACAAACACGTCTACTTCTACGACTCTCCTGAAGACCTCCCAGCACCTACCATCCGTCTCTCCGGTGGTGCATCTGCTGCCCAGAAGAACTACAAGATCATCTTCATCAAGGCCCCAGCCTACCAAGCCCCACAAGTACCACAAATCCCTACCCAATCTCAGAACGAAGAAAAGACTTTGGTCTACGTCCTCGTCAAGAAACCCGACGATGCTCAGGATATCGTTGTACCTACTCTTGCCCCATCCAAACCAAGCAAACCAGAGGTGTTCTTCATCAAATACAAGACCCAGAAGGAAGCTGAACAACACGTACAGACCATCCAACAAGGTTCCCACAGCGGTGTCTCCGCCAACGCTGTTGATAACGACTCTGCTTTTATCAGCACTATCACTGATTCTAAGGTTTCATCGGGTGGCCACTCCGGCAACATTGGAGGCGGTGGAGTCATCTCAAACACCAACGACTATAACTCTCAGATCTTTGGCGGCGGTAATGTTGGTGGTGGTCACAGTTCTCAGGAGAACCACTTCGAGGCTACTCACACCAGCAGCCAGGTCACATCAGGCAACAATGGTCAGAAATATGGCCCGGCTGGTGCAAGCGGACCCTATTAAATCAACGCCTACAGGGAATTTACACTGCCATTTATTTAAAAAGATCAATCAACTTTGCCTTTGATATCGTGCTAAAAATGTGTGAATCTAAATGTCTTATCTAATGTATTTAATGATGTAAAATGGAAAAATATATTTGTACATATACATAACACTTGTGTCTTTATGATTACGAACTTTACGCAATAATCGCTATAATGCGATGCATAAAAAATGGATATAAACGATTACGTCGCACCGACGTCTTCATCAACAACGTTTTATACGTCATATTTTCTTGTTTTTCTCTTCTCTGCACATTTATGATCTTTTTCTGACACCAAAATGGCGGTATTCTAGCACAGTTGCATCGTTGCATCACACACTTTGTTACCAATTGTTAGTATCAACAATGCATTGGCGCTAATTGCATAAATTGCTTAAATAAATTAAGCTCACACAAAAATATGCAGCTAATTTATGGCTAAATAAAACATGTGATGAAACAATAGCTTTCAAATTGATGTAATGTTCTGAAACGTTAATTTGCATCAGTTTTTGGTGAAATCCTAAAAATTCAATTATTTTAGACACATGGTGCGCTCGTTTCTTTTTTTTATTCTGGTGATTCATGTGTCTCTTGTTGCATTTGAAGCGCTTCACATTTTGATGTGATTTATAGCGACCTAAAGCGTTGCGCTCTTGACATAATTCTTCATAATTTGTTTTTAATTTTTTAATTCGGTTTTCAAACGTCTATTAACTTAAAAATTCGTTTTCTCATTTTGAACGGCGAATCTAATTGACGAAACATGATGGAATTGCTGTAACAAAACCACAAAATTACGAAATTTCTTCCACTTAACACCTTAACTTACTTGAATTATCTTCAATTTAATATCGTTAGAACATCTCACAAGTCGGTAATAGAATAATAGTATTTCAATATAATAGGTATACGTCTTTTGTTTCTTGCATTGTTAACTTGAGTACACTTATATCATAATGCGATTAAGTTAATAGCGAAGCTACACGTACTCGTACGTGAGTGTAAACTTTTCTTGTCTGGTAATGATTTTAGATCGAAAATGGGATAGGCTTACCTTAAGGCAAATTTTGTTTATGTTTACATCGCGTGAAATTAATAAAAGTCGTGGGCGTTTTGTTAAAATTGAAATATAAAACTTATCGAAATCTAACGTTTATTCTATAAATTTAATGCACTGATATGCAAGGTGTTTAAATATTATGGAGGAAAGGAGATGAGAGTGAGAAGCGACACCGTGCGGTACTTTCTCCATAAATTTGTCATTTATGTAACTTTGCCGTTTGTCTTAACTTCTTCGTCGGCATCGTGCATCGTGCATAATGTGCGATCGATCGATTCACGTTTTCCGGTTGCGCGTCGACGCTTATTATCGCATTGAATAAGTGGAGACTTCAACAGTTTAATGAAACCTTATCAAGCGAATTCGATGGGTTTGCGTTTGATTTGTTTAATTGTGCATGCACAATCTAAACAAACAAGTAGATATCAATTAAACCTTCAAATGTTTCGATGATTTACAAGTATAAACTGGGAATTACGCTTTCACTTAAAACCGAACAAAAATAAATGATGATAATAAATAAACTTTATTTTTTCACATTGCGCATGATATTCTGATAATTAAACACATCACGATGTTCATTCGTGTGCATGTTTAACACGAACATTTTTCAAATTAATTTGCAATCTTTATAACAACTAATTAAACATTAAACATGCATATTATGACAATGTCGTAAAGTTAATTTTCTTAATATATGAGTAAACGAATAGGTTTTTTTTTTCTGTATGTAGGAAGATGAAAAAACTGCGCCCACATTACAAAACAACCTCACTCGTCGTCTACCGGTAGAACTATGATATCTGAAATTTTCTTCGCTAATTAAGTTCATCGTCATCGCCAATTAATAACCACTTAAAATATACCTCGCCGCATTGTTGCACGCTCACGAGAAGTAAACACCTTCACTTTTATCTTCGCAACAAGTCGAACGCACACTGACACACACACACAATTTGTGTCTTGTTGGTCATTTGTGCGCCGCATGCATTCGGCCACGACATTTCGCTAAATTTCATCTTCGAACTCACGCCACAATAAATCACCAATGATTATGACCCACAATGACCTACAAAGTGTTGTTGCTCACCTATGCACACAAAACTATAACAATGTATTCCACTGTGGTTTGCAAACTGATGTTACCCTTGGTGGATAAATTTACAACGCGTAATTCATTTCAATAACGCACTTCTATGATCTAATAACAATCGGTTTGAAGGCAAGCCCGCTTTTATAATGTTATAATTGCTAGATGGCGAGTTAGACATTCATAATATATAATAAATAATGAAGCAAGATGTTGCAGATGCGATGCTCAATGATCATACATCGATGTCAAAGACGCTCGTTAATTGGTGTGATTGTTTAGATTGTCCTGATTTCGATTTTCTTTGACTTGCAGGTGGATGGCATCTGTTGCGGAATTGGAACACCGAAGACTTCGATTTCAACGGCCTTCTGCGTACGCTGCATGTGACCTACGGAGTGTCTCCGTATTTTAAAATTACCACAGTGCCAAATCCCAGAGAACCCGGGAACACCAGCATTGTAATCTTACCAGCCGGTTTGGGTCTTCCAGATAAAAGTTATTATTACCTAGAGGATGAAAAGGTTTGTTAATGTCTGCACGATTTTGACATTTGTAAAATTTTTAACGTGAGTGTGTTTTGATTATAGTACAGCAAAGCATATGAACAATTAATCACCGACGTCATCGTCCTGCTGGGACAATCCACAACCGATACTCAACGGTCCGCGAAGGATGTATATTCTTACGAGCGTCGCTTAGCTGAAATCATGCCGAACCGAGATGAGTTGCGTGATCCGATTAGCACCTACAATCCGATGAAAGTGTCTGCGTTGAAATTATCTGTCCAACAAATTGTAAGCATCTTCAGTGTCATATTAAGACTTAAGCTACTTTAAATCATTATTTTAGCTGCCATTGCAAGACATTTTAACAGCCATGTACCCAGACGCAAACATCAACGAAGAAACTGAAGTAATCGTGGCTCAACCGGATTATTTAGCGAAGTTATCGCAATTGGTGTCGTCCACTGATAGTCAAACTAGAAATAGCTACATGATGTGGACACTTGTGCGCGAATATGTCCCATATCTTTCGGCTGACTTTCAGAAGGCCATTGATAGATATCATTCGGAATTGTTTGGTAAGAAAACATATAAACATGTTCGATGTTGTTTTGATTTATTTCTACTGTAGGAGTAAAGAATCCGATTGAACGTTGGGAATTCTGCTCCAGTCTTGTGCAGCGCTTCATGCCGATTGCTATTGAAGCCGTGCTGGAACGCCAGCAATCGATGGGCGATGCCAAGCACGTTGTGAACCAGATGTTTGAACAAATTGCCGCACAACTTCGTCAGGATTTAGACGATAAGATGCGCCGTAACGATATTACTTCTGATTTGCATTCGAAGTTAAAGAAAAAGGTAAGAAAAGTGAACGAATAATAAAAAAGACATGTTTAACTATTTTGTTGTAGCTTGAATTAGTGAAACTTCATGTTGGATTGCCGGACGGTGTATTGAACGCTACCTTTGTGAAAACCTTCTACAACCGCTTGAACATCATCCGATCGAACCTATTTGAAAACCACAAGAAAGCGATAGTTTTCGCGAAGAAACGCGAGGAGCAGCTGTTGCGTGAATCCTCCACCGAGGATTACCTCATGGCGGCCATCACACGAAGGCCGGCCCAAGTTGAGTACGTGCCCAGCGGGAATGTCGTGGTCGTTCCGAGAGTGCTTCTCACCGCACCGTACTTTGAGTCGAGATATCCCAAGTATGTTTTGAATCAATTCTAGGCTATTATGTCTTAATATAATCACTCTTTAACTTGCTGTAACGCTGACTAATGACACAATCATCGTTAATGTCGGCATGATTTAACAGCGCATCTAAACGGTTTTGATTGGTGCTTGTAGGTCGATTAATTACGCGAGGATTGGCAATGACATTGCATTCGCCTTGGTCTCCAGCATCCTACCGTTCGACAGTGGATGGACGGCGGATGCTAAATTGTTGTCGCAGTATCATCTCGCCGTCAACGAGTCCCAGAAAGTTATTGATAAACCCACACGATGCTTGACGAAATTAATTGAAGAGAATCATTACGTGCAGGCAGACTTTGCCTCGCTATCAGCATTAAATACGTATAAGTATTTAACTGCTTTGGAAACTTCATATAATGTATGTAATGAAAATAATAATTTGTTGAAGTTTTTAATGATTTTATTAAATTTCAGAGTATGGAAACAAGTTTGATGAATAAGGAACATGTTCACATCCCATCTCTAGCAGTCTATGAAGACTCTGACTTGTTTTATCTCACAAGCCTCCAGGTATAACTTGTTTAACGTTTCTTTACATATTTTTACATTTTTGAATGTTTAGGAACTCTGTACCTTGTCGACTGATCAACAAAATTTGCATGACACACTCGTGAATCACAAGCTGCCAGAAAACGGCATGTAAGTTATTAACATTTTAAATAATTTAAACCTTTAAGTTATAATTCGTTTCACCACAGATTTGAAGTGATTTTACATCAATCACGTAGTTTGAGTGCGAGCTTACTCTCAAAATGCTCCAAGATGGACTCCACGACGTGCATACAGTGATATATTTAAACTAAGGAGAGAAGTGTAATTATTGCAAAAACTGCTTATAATTCTTTGACGTTATTTATATATTTTTCGTAGCTTAAACAAAACAGATATTCGTATAATATTTAGAAACAAAGGAAACATTCTTTTTGAAACTGTTGATATTACTGTAATACTTCTAATGTCGCACACCGATATTGTCGAGTATTGGTGTTGCGACATAGGACCTGATTGCCCTTTGTTGTTGAACACAGGTGCAACAAAGCTGGAAGTGGAACGTATCCAATGCCTTGACCTTGGCCGTTAGACAAGGAGACGCCGCCCTTGGTGACAAACCCCATGATTTCTCTCGAGCAGGATGTCCGCAAGCCGGAAGTGCCAATCGGCGGAAGCCACAGGTCTCGCATTTTTTTCATAAAGTTTTGGGAGATACTTTTATCAATTGAGACAGAGTGCAGTTTTGTTCTTTCGATGTGTCGTTTTTTCTTCAATCTCTGTAGCAGGGTTTGATGTTCTTTGCGCAGTGTAGCCCGTTCTTCTTTGTGTACGTCTCTTCTTTGAGTTTCTAATGGGGGTGTAGTAATGTCTGTTGGAGATGCAGGCAAACAAATCATGGTGTACCTTGTGACGAGTCCTTTTTTCAATGTTATTTTTATTGGAACTAAATAGTTTTCATATTGGGGTTGTATCCATTTGTGTTTTCGATTGTTTAAATATAACTGTAGGTCTGCCAGTACTTTCTTACTTCTTAACACGAAGAAATTTTCGTATTCTGTTGTTGTCCAATCGTGGAGTAGAACCCGCCAATTGCAATTAATAGGACTAAATGATGCGAATTTATTGAAATTGGTTCGTTTATTTGGTGGTAGACGAAAGAATCGTGTCCGATTGGCATCGTCAAGTTGTTCGTTCTCATTTTCACCGGCTTTTGTGTCTGGCGGGAAAAGATCTTGTTGCAATAATTCGAAATTGATGTTTTCTGTCTCCCTGTATCCTCCTGCACGAGCTCCCCACATAATAAAACACATCCATGTGCATTGTGCCCATCCTTTCGGTATAATCACATCCCAGCCGGAGCAAAATCCTTCAAAATAAAATTATTGGTGAGAGTTGCCTCAAATATGAATACAAAACACTTACCAGTTTTCGAGACTCCCGGTCTTTGAATCAACATAAGTGGTATTTGTGCACCTTGAGACTTCATCTCACTCCCAGGAACCAGCAGTTGAGACCTCAACTCATTGATAGCAACATTTGAAAGTTTAGATTCTGTTACATTCTGTCTGATATCTTGATTCCAAATCGCACCATTTGATAAACCATTTGGCGGATCGACGTTCCTCATTTCTCCCGTAGAATTCAATGCTTTAGTTCTTTGATTTGGCATGCTGTATCTTGGATCAGTTATTACAAGTGAAAATGTAATGTGTGGACTAAGCATAGCAGGTGTTTGCACTTGTTTGACTGAATTCCAATATTCAATTTGTTCAGAAAATAACTGTCTTTGTTCATCATCCTCTAAATACTCTTGCAACCAGGAGTTTATTTCCAAACATGCATCCACTGGCTTAAGTGCTGAGGTCAGTATAGCCTGTGATAATGGACCTGTAAGCCTGAACCTATTTAACTCAAATCTAAGGTCAGTTATTTGTACTTTCTTATTAATCCATTGTTTTTGTGACTTGTCTGCAGGTAGGTCAAAATGTGTAATCAATGAATCTAAAACTTGCTGATAATAAGCTGCATGAACCCATAACCAAATTGTTCTTTGTTTTGAAGCAGTAACTGGCTGCCAATTAAACATAACACTTCCTATTGGCACATTTTCTGCATAATCATAAAACATTGTTTTTCCTTCCCTGTTTCCATCAATATAAGCTTTTGCATGGATTGACAGCCCCTCATCACTTCTCGTAAGCTTCTTAAATGTTTCAATTAGTAAGTCTTGCTTTCCTTTGAGCTCTATGCATCCAGTGTAGGAGATGTCCTGAAGTAAGCAATGTTTCATAGTTGCTCTATAACATGCTCTAAATGCTTTGTCAGTGGGACTGTATGGTATTTTGTAAGACCATTTGTTTATCATATGGAATCTTTTTGCATGCCAAATATGTGTCTCCAACCATTTGTTCTCTCTTTGCCTTCGTGTAATTTCAGCATTGAGTAGTTTTGGTCTTCTCCGAAATTTTCTAGAAGGCCTCTTCGATTTCGGCGGTAACCCAGACTTCTCAAGCTGATTCTGATGTATTTGTTTTATGCTTTGTGGTACACGTTTAGTACTATGACCCATTACCCTGCGTCGCATGTGCCGGGGAAGTTTTTGAAACGCAAGTTTAGTGCCATTTTGTGCTTGGAGCAAATTTGTAACTGTCTTGATTTCTCTTATACGTGCACTGGCAAAGAACAGTGCTGGAACACTTTCTGGTATTGAATTTTTATTCATAATTCTTGTTTAACCGTACGATTCAATACAACTAATTCTGAGGTTAAGTCGTGAGAAACATAACAAATACACGTGTTGGCAAGTCGTGACCTAGTGAAAAGTAAGGTGCAGTGAAAAATCAAAAATCGGTATGTTCTCATGTTATAACTGATGTATGAGTTTGATCTGTCTTATCCATTTATTGCCTTTCATTTGTAACTAACACAACTAATGTCAAGAGCTACTTGTTGAATGCTTGATGAAAACAGTAGTGCAAATATTAAGGAAGAATAGCATTGCGATGCACATTTTATATTCGTTTCCATGGTAACGACATCAGTGGCGTGCATGAAAAAACGTAGAAAAATGCTCTCAGACCAAACCACGACCTGATAAAGCAGGAATTCAAATTTTGCGCTGGCGTTATAGTGTACAAATATGTTAAATGTTGTATATTGCTGTTGTTTAACTGGAGACGTCTGCCTGTATTACAGGTATTATTGGATCGTTCCATGTGTCACACCTTGCATGTGCCGTGTGATATTATTATTAACTTCGTTAATCTGTCTAAATGTATATATATTACAGTGTTTTTCTGTGTGTTATATATTTCCTGATATCCAGTTGACCAAAATGTTCAGCAGTAGGACAGCCGAGCATGTAAGACTTAAATGAATTGCATGAATTGAATGTTTTTATGTCCTCGGTCGTTGTATCGAACGTATCGCAATACTGATAGTAACCGCGTGTTCTCGCCGTTAGCTGTGCACACTCAGTTCCATTCCGGTTGCCGAATGATTCGCGTGTTCATCGCGACTATTTTTGATTCTTTAGATCGTTAAAAAGAAAATTAATCGATTTTTAGTATCCAATTGCCAGTACGCACCGGGGACGTGGTTTTACTACGTAATTGCACGCGTTGAATATTCAACAATCGCGAATTAATCGTCGGTTTACCGGGGCGCGTGTGATGTTCCGTCGGCCGTCGCTGAATATAAGTCGTGTTGGTCTACATGTGCACAGCGTGCGTGTCCATCTGCATATAGGAAAAACTTATAATTATAATTATTTCCTGCAGATAGACAACGTTGGTGCCCAGAAGAAGTTCGAGAGTGCCCCATGAAGTTTGCAATATAGCGGAAGTGTTGGAGATGCGCGTACTTTAAGGCAAGTCTTTACTACTACGGGAAATGATAGTCGCAAATTGTTTTCTTGTTTAAAAAAATATGTATCTATTGTTTAATGTTTTCAATAAAACACAATGTATAATTATAATCTCATTCATATTTCTTTGTGGTATCCTCTTTGTCGTTTTCAGTTTTAAATAATATGGCATATAAGTCTTATGGGTGAGCAGCGGGTATAAGATAAGTAACTGTTGCTTAAATTGTGTTGTTGTTTTTAAAAACATGATAAAAGTAGTAACATAAATAGAAGAATCAAATATTAATGATAAAAACACTCGGTGGTCGAGTGGAGACGTGCACCTGCTGGCATACTAGCAGACACGGATCGAATCTCAGGTATAGAAGGCATTTTTCTCAAATATAAAAATATCAGGTGTAATTTGGGTTGCATATATGAATTGTAACGAAATATAAGAGAAGTTGAAATACAAGTGGAGGCAATAAGAGATGTAAGAAAGTAAATGGAGAACGGGAGAACAGAAAAATAGAAGAAGGAGTAGTAGAGAATAGGAGAAGATAGAAGGAAGAGAACAGAGAGTAGAGTAGAGAACGAGGAGGAAGGAGAAGAAGAGATAGGAGATAGAGAACAGGGGAGGATCAGATTTTTAAATTTTTTGGCACGTGTCGTTATAAGACAGTCACAGGTCGATCTCCCAGAGCGCCTCCGGCGCTCTGGTCGATCGCCCACTACTTCGATGCGTCCATTGCTCCCGGCCCATCCTACAGCTACGATGTCTCTGCGCTTCATCCCCGGAATTATCAGGCATATCAACAATTTTTATGGTGGGGGATCATCCCCCGAGTGGGAGAACTCCTTATAAGGACATCCTTCTAAGAACTTATAAAAATATTTCTAAGTTTTAAGTCGTCTCAAGAGAGGAGACACTTAAAAATATTCTTACAAGTTTTGACCTGTAGCTGAAATGAAAGAAGGAGTACACAAATCATACAGGTTACCTTAACAATTTTTATAGAGGGGATCATCCCCTGAGAGAGGGAACTCTCTTAGAGACCAGTTCCTGAAATGATAGAAGGCGAACACACAAATCAAAGAAGTCAATATATCTTACTATTTCTTTATTAATAGAATACAAGTATAGATTTTACAAGTCAACAGAATACATGTCGCCATATTGAAACAGAACTTACGACCTGCTTAGCCGCGCACATACTAGCAAATACTACTTCATAAAGTTATACCGGAATAATGAAATTAGTAAATACCCAATTTTCTAGGAGATTGAAAATGGAAACAAACATACAGAGTGTTACAAAAGGAACATTTAAAGTGCAAACAAAAAACTTTCAACACTACAAACGCCGCTCGTTTTCACTCAACGATTAGGAAAATTAATATACAGGGTGTTCCAGAAAGAATATTCAAAGTGCAAAAGGGAAAATACTAAAAACGACAGCGAAAACATAATTTTCACGGACACAAGGGAAAACATATATATATATATATATATATATATACAGGGTGTTACAAAAGAAAATTTTAAAGTGCAAACAAAAAACTCAAAACACTATAAACATTGCTAGTTTTCACTCGACAAGCAAAGGAAACTAATATACAGGGTGTTATAAAAAGAAATCAACTTCATTTTAAAATATACGTCAACGGCAAACTTTCAATCACTACAAATATGGCTATTTTTTCACCTGACAATCACGGGAAAATTAATATATAGGGTGTTGCAATAAGATAATATTTTTTTAAAGGTACAAGTAGATAAACATATATCATAGGCACTTTTCGCGTGAACTCGCAAAAATTAATATACAGGGTGTCACACACAAAAAAGAAAATCCCAAATTACAGAAGATGTATTACCCGGAAACGAAAATGTGTCTATTTTCACTGGACGCTAGGGGACATTTAGATACAGGGTGATATAAAAAGAAAAACTATTCAAGAATGGTGTAAAGAGGACCGGACAGAACATTTTATAATAAAATACTAAGTTCTACCAAATAGTTCTACTAAATATCAGAAATTAAAAATGTTAACAATTTTCCAACTGGAAATAGAAAAACACTGCAGACAATTGACATAGCGAAAAAACAGGGAACAGTGATGCGATTTTATTACAAGCATAAAACATAAATACAAATTTAATTGTACATCATCTGGCACAATAGGCGACCAGCATGTAAATGCCGGCAGCGAGATCCGAGAACGCAGCCGTCGGCATGCGACCATCTCGAACTATTTAAAAAATGTTCATTTAACGCTATTAATAGCAAAATTCGTGAAGCAATCAATGGAAAAATGTAAATATGAATATATAATACAACGTATATGATATATACAAATTATTACTACTTACGAATCGGCAACGAGTACAACACAACTATCAATATAACTTGCATTACGGAATTTTTTAACAATAAGTTTCGATACAGGGTGATACAGAATTAAATTCTGCATCTAAGAAAATTATTCCGAACTTACAGTAAGACCGCGTTCGCGTGTTATAATAAAAAAAACTACAATTTCTAGCGCTACGAGTACAAGTGCGTATACACACAACTATCAATATAACTTGCATTACGGAATTTTTAACAATAAGTTTCGATACAGGGAGATACAGAATTAAATTCTGCATCTAAGAAAATTATTCCGAACTTACAGTAAGACCGCGTTCGCGTGTTATAATAAAAAAAACTACAATTTCTAGCGCTACGAGTACAAGTGCGTATACACACAACTATAAATATAACTCGTGTTACGGAATTTTCTCGCAATAAATTTCGATAAAGGAAGATACAGATTTAAATTCCGCATGTAATAAAATTATTTTGAACTTACAGTAAGACCGCGTTCGCGTGTTATAATAAAAAAACTACAATTCCTAGCGCTACGAGTACAAGTGCGTATACACACAACTATCAATATAACTCGCGTTACGGAATTTTCTCGCAATACAAGGGGGAGATTTCTACGGCGCCCCCTAACTGCAGTTCCAACCCATACGAAAAAACCGGCCAAATGCGAGTCGGCGCCCCTTCAAGTCCGGCGCCCCTGGGCGGTTGCCCAACCGCGCCATGCCCTAACGCCGTTCGTACTCTACGAATGTACCGGATAATACAGATCATAGGTAAATATTGAAATATGGAAGACCACGCGGTTGAAGTGTAAGCCAGAATATTATAGGTAAAACATACAAATATGTTCTTCATAGGGTGGAAGCGAAAAAATACGAGAACATACCTTAGCGTAATATAAGATTTTCTTTTTGTAAATCCAGTATAAGATGTAAACAGATGTAATTATGCGTATAGTAGCATCGATGAAAACACTAAATTGATAAGAGGCAACGCGAAGTTGATAGAGTATCCGACGGCCGAAGGTACATCACACATGCAGAGGTAAATCTACGTATGTTCAATCCTCGTTCGAACACCGCATATCACCGCACTGCACAGACGAACAGTACAACTATGAATATTATGCAATGAAACAAAGAAATATTGATAAACCAAATGGATCGCGAAGAGTGCGCGCCCGGATAACCTGACGATGTAAATGAGACTAACACCGTGCGAAAGCCGACCGCGTGCGTCGACAATGGGGTGACGGTGCACAACTTGAACGAGATAAGAAAAACTTGTTTGTTTATAAACACTGATATTGTTAGTGTTCCCGATATTGTTAGCAGTGTAGAAAGCGAGAATATTCTTACATTGAATATTTATTTATTACTTACTTTTATTGCTGCACTATAAATTGATAGAAAATATATACATATCGGGAAAATTAATATAATATTTACTATCAGATTTAAAAAAAAACAAGATTATCTATCTGCAATAATGTCCCATTCACATTACGTTAAATACTGTTTATTATGCGCAACAAAACAATAACAATACCTAGAACTTAGAAACTATCGCACATATTTAAATAGGTACATTATCTAATAAAGAATTTCGTGAAAATTTAGGATCTGCAAGCCTTCCTTAGCAGTCACTTTAAGTTCACGAGATAAACACATAATAAGTACCTACCATCAATGTTCAATTTCGCTAAAGAAAGGACTTACACACTTATGTACCTCAAAACGCAGAAAATGAATAAACTAAATTAGGCACGACTGGTTTAATTATTTCACTTACCAGTGTACTAAACAACGCACATCCAAGGTATGTTGATACTGAAATAAAGAAAGACCAATATTATTTATACATATGTATCATAAAAATCGTGTGTATAGCAAAAATACGATTATACTATGATACTAACCAGAGATCAAATTAACACACAACAAAAATGTTTTGCATATGTACAAAATTGAGTAGGAATAGTCAATAATACTTGCAATCACAAGATGCAGTCGATCGGCATCCGACGGCACACGCACAAACACACATAACTCAATAAATTAGCGTTTACAGAGATTCCGCACGCTATAAATTATTAACAAAACACAAAACTCGTCTATTAACAGTAAATATAGGCGATGATCAATCATAAATAACACGATTTATGAAATTTATCAAGAAACGTGGCTCGCAGCATGAGCGAGAGAAGCGTGCCGACATCGTAGCGACGGAACACAACAAATTTAACTTGCACGACTATATTTAGTTAAAAAGCGTACAGTTGCGCCACCTAAGCGGACCAAAGAGAGTTAAGAAGTACATGTATAACTATAACATAATTTTAAAATTGATTCTGATAGTTAAATTTAATAAGTCTTAAAGTTAAACAAATCAATGGAATTATATTAAACAAACAACAATTATATTAAACAATTAAACAAATTAACAAAAAAATTTCATAATAAAATGTAGTAGAATCCTAAGATCCACGTAAACCGGACGCCTTATAGACGCAATTGTTAATTATGTATGTATGACGATTGCTTTGATTTTACATACAAATAAATAAAAGTTTATGTACGCTGCGGCCAAATAACGGGCAACCGAGAACTTGTAGCGATGCCATGCGACAATGTTTCACAACTTCATTGCGCACGTTGAATGCAAAAACTTGTTCGAAACGAAACACAGATAACCGCTTCTTATAGACAACAATTGGATGTCAACAAATGGAATGTTATATTCTAATTCTATCTCCATGTG